CTGCTCGGCGGCACACATGAGCACCTTCTTTAATATAACTACTTATTCTTTTAACTTATTTTTTTTTTTTTTTTTTTTTTTTTTTTTTTTTTTTTTTAAATCCCCTGTTTTGCTGTTCTGATCTCATCTGACATTATTACTGGGTCTAGCTTGATAGATCATTTTCTTTCTGGTTTTAATGAGATGGTCTTTTCCCTGAAGCAGAAATGTGCAATGATGTAGATTCATATTCAACAAGAAATTGGAAGTTTATTATGTAAAAGAAATATAAGATAAAATAGAATAAACCACACTATTTGCATATAACACAAGTTTTGAAGCATGTTGCAAAATATAATTCAAGTAGTCCCAAGAGCACCCCTTTTTACAGTACTCTCACCAGAGACAATTATTTTCTGTTTCATATTTATAGCATTTAATTTAACTGTAGCTTCAATTCCTCACCTAGAGAATCTATGATCTTCATTGATTTGGCAAATAATTGATCTTATACTTTCTCAACTTCACATAACACCTTCAGGGTTTTAACCAAACACTTCTGGTATGGACTTAAACTAACCTCCTTTATATTGAAGTAACCTCTTTAATAACAGTCCTAAGGTACCTCCAATCCTCCAGGAGTACCTGCTTCATGCATTGAGCTACAGCTAAGATCTCTGCAACATGTCTGAACTGAAACTTAAAAAGCTTTTTATTTCAAGCTGTAGTGTTTCCCATAATCAAAAGAGAAAGTGATTCCAGAATTTTCTATCTAAAAGTTTAATGCACTACTCTATTTCCTTTGTAAATGTCAGAAACTCTCTCAGCGTAAACAAATTCCTACTAGGCTCCAAGACTATTTATCTCAGATTTTTATTAAAATCACCATGGCTCCAGAAATCCTACAAGTTAGTCTTTAAACTCTTTCAGGCACAAGAATCCCATATGCCACTAGTTCAAAATTCTAAAATTCAAAGCAAAACATATTATAAGGTATGTGATTGATACATATTTTACTACACTGTATATACTTGAAAGGGAAAAATGCAAATTTGTCTCGCACAGACAATTGTCTTCTCTCCTGCAGTGCTCACAGTTTGAAATACTCCTAGGAGATTACAGACTAGCTTGTATTGCTTTTCTCCCTGACACCTGTCTACATGACATTCCAGAGTTCCTCTCCAGGCAGCCACTGTATTTACATCTGTAGTTAGTTTGGCTGTATCAGCCTTCTTTTTAAGATAAACCATATATTGGAATTTAAAAGTTCAATACATCCATAGGTGAGCTGGGGTTATAATCTGTGGTTGTGACACTAGAGACTGAGGAGACATTAACTAGTTCAGATTGTATCTGAGTCTGAGTATCTGATTCATAATCTAAGGCAAAATGAACTAAATATTACAAATTTGAAGATGATGTAAGAACCAAGAGAACTAAGCCAAACTTTGAATGTGGCAGGATGAGTTAATAAAGCTGTTGAAAAGTTCAGGGCTCAATATGGAGTTCAACACTTTCAAACAGTGAACCCATTCCTTCCCTTTCTTTTAGCTTTGCTTGTTGCATTCTCTGTCACCATGTCCTCTCTCTCCTCCCACCACCCTTCCCCCACCCCAGTTGGACTGACCATTAGACACACCATTGTTCTGCCATTCTCATGTTCTCTTCACTTAATCTGAGCTATCAACATTCTTTTATCCCCCAGCATTCCAACAACACCACCACCACCCGCCCCCCACCCCCAACGCCCACCATCCACTCCACTATTGCTGTCGGGCGTATGCATGCACGTACGCACGCATGCACCACATCAGCCCTGATGAAGAGACATGTAGACTCGAAATGTCAGTTCGCATTCCCTCCATGGATGCTGTATGACCCGCTGTGATCTCCAGCATTCCTTTTGTGGTGTTTTCAGTGTTGATAAGCCTATTAGATTCCTGGCGTTGTTAACATAAGTTCTTTTGTTTTTCCTATTGTATCCCTCTATTAAAGTTTTTATTTAATATATTGCTTGTTAAACCTCAGTTGGGGTATTGTATTCAATGCTGGACTCCAAGGAATGAGTGGAGGGTGGATAGAATGGTACCAGGGGTTTCAATCACCTGGGGCAGGCCCATCTTATAGTGCAGAAGGTTAAGAGGAGATCTGAGTTGTTCCAAATGATGAATGTCCTTGATGAAGAAAGAGAGTAGTGTTGCTAACCCTCCAAAATTGCCCTGCAGTCTTCAGGAGCTAATATTCCCCTCATAGACACTGGTTCAAGCTGCCACGTAGAAGTCTCAGAGTAAAAACAGGCGCCTAAAAACCATTTTCATTCACCTATCTTCATGTTTTATGTTCTGAAAACATTGGAGATGAAGATAAAGACAGGTTGACTAGGCAGAGGAGGTGGATGTAGAAGGTGATGTGATGGGAACTCCAGGGAATTAGCCACTTAGAGCTGGCAGTCCTAGAGGCAGTACATAGATATCCCAGCGTTGATCTCTGGTCTGAGGTCTGGGTACAACTGATGGGCAAAATGATCAGAGGGAGGGCCACAGTCACATCTTCGCACTCGCCATCTCAATGTACAAGATCGACAGGGCTGGAATAATGTCCTCCTTACTAACACTTGGAGGCTATGCCACATGTGAGCGGTCCCCTGAGGTAGTCATACTCAAGACATTAGACAGCACGTTCCAAACCCACCGCCATTTCTATCTTGAAGGACAAGGGGAGCAGATACACGGGATCACCACCATCTACAAGATCCCCTCCAAGCCACACACCATCCTGACTTGGAAATATATCGCTGTTCCTTCGCTATCGCTGGGTCAATATCCTGGAATTCCCTCTAAGGGCATTGTGGGTCAACCCATAGCAGGTGGACTGCAGCGGTTCAAGAAGGCAACTCACCACCACCTTCTCAAGGACAGGTATGGACAGGCAGTAAATAAATCTCAGAATGAATATGAACAAAGGTGTGCAAATGAATTCAGAGTTCAGTCGTGACCTGATTGAGTGATGAACAGACCTGAAAACAGAGAAACGAAGACTTGCATTTACATAACACTTTTTTCACAGCCTAAGGACATTCCAAAGCTTCACAACCAATGTTTTGTTTTTCTAATGGACTTTTTTAGTTGTAATGTACGATACCCAGCAGCCAATATGTGCAGACCAAGCCCCCATAATCCTCAATCTGATAATGACCAGATAATCTGCTTTGTAATGCTGATCAAGTGATAAAGGTTACCTGCCGGTCTCGTGCTCTTCTTCAAAACAATGCCATGAGATCTGTCAGATCCACCTGAGCGGGTAGACAAAACACAATGTATGTCTCATCCAAAAAAGACAGGAACTCTGATAGTACAGTACTCACTCAGTATTGCACACAAGTTACCTAGAGTTTGATGCTCAAGCCCTACGATAGGTCTTGAACACAGAACCATTTGACTCAGAGGGGATAGGCAGGGCTGTGGGGCTGAATGGCCTCCTGCTGTTCCTGTGTAAAAAGCTGAAGAAGAGGCTGAATGTCCTGTTAATGGTATTAATCTTCAGAACAGCTCATTTCGTTAGCAGGTCAGGGTTTTGTTGCTGTGAAATTCCTAGTCAGGCAAAGAACAGATTCAGCTGATCTGTGTGACAACAGTTACCATGGTGACTGTGACGATCAGTTCTATAGTAGTTGTGTTGCTCATTGCTGAAGTGACTGATGCTGGGTCACACACTGCCTCCTTGTTCTACAGATAGACCGGGAAACGATGGCTGCCTGGTTACTCAGCTCCATACTGCTGCTGCTTGGACTGCACACTGCCCTGGGCACCAAACCTGCCTGTAGGATCCGGATCACATCGCCAGGACTCCAACTACGTAAGATTCTGCACCAATGGGGCTGCTCCCACTCAAATAAATACATAGAAATTCTTTTACCGTAGGGTTTGGGAGCACGCGAGTGAAAGTGAAAGTGCTGCCTTTAAACAGACCCCTTTATTGAAGTGTTGTGGGAGAGACGTGTTCCCACACACACACTCCGCTGGTGTAGCTGCTAAACCCTTTACCTCGAGACATCATGTCAGGAAAACCCAAATACATTTCCCATTTGTTACAGTGGAGGCACATCATGATACCACACACCTCCTGGACAAACACACTCAGCTCCTGCACCTACACGCTCGTGCACGCTCAGCCCTTGTAGACATCACACAAACACACCCCATGCATTTCCCATCCCACAGACACTCCTTGGCCACACATGTACACACGCATACACACAAACACACTCTCGCATACACACTGCGCACATGATCCTGGACACACACTGACACACAATAACTCTCACTCACTCATCCACACACACAAACACTTAGAGGCACGCACAATCCTACATGCGCACACTAATTCACACTTATACGCACAAAGCCAGACTCTGTCTCTCACAAACTCATTCATACTCTCACACTCAGATGCACACATGATCCCATATTCACTCTCTCTCACACACACCACACACACGTGTGAATTGAGTTAGCTTGGTCAGACATACCCTGACAGAGATTCTCTTTGGGCTGGGATTGAAGGTAAATGGTTGAAATGGGAATACAATGAGTTGGAGCAAACACTGGGCTGTAAACTGAGTGACTACAGTTGAGAAGCTCATCAGAACATTTTTCCGTTCTCTGCAGTTCGATCAGAAGCACTGAAGTTTGTTGCTGAAGAGCTGGAAAATATCTCCATAGCGGATTTTACTGGGAAGGAAGGGCCATTGCACTACTCCATCAGTGGGTAAGAGTCTGTCCAAAGCTCATTGTTTCCCTGATTATCTGTTTATATGTGTCACTGAGCACGGTGTGTTAATGTGTCACAGAGTGCAAATCACTGACCTGGATCTCTCGACTGCCTCTCTGTCCTTCCGCCCTGATGCGGGTCTACAATTCGAGGTGAAGAACTCATCGATCAGTGTCACCTTCCACAGGGACATGCTGTACTGGCTGATGTGAGTCTCCCTGTAACCGGGCCCAATGAAGCCACACACACTCCTGTCTGAGTCAGTTGAATCGAGAGGAGGCAGTGGGAGAAGGGGAGGGTGGTGGAGCTGTCTGCCTGGGCCCAGTTGAACACATGAACCAAGTCAGGAATGGGCCTGGAGGAGGTCAAAAGTATTTTGAGAGGCAAGTCTACATTCTGATTGTGACTGCTTTGAATGGGCCAAAGGGCCCCTTTCTGTATTGTAGAATTCTACGACTGTCTGTCTGAAGTTGCAGTAGTAACAGGCCTGAGGAGGGTTTAGTGTTAATGCATTTGCTAGTTCAGAGGGTCCCTACCCTGCTGGCATCACCTGGGGATGAAGGGCAGAGTCCAGGGGAGGGAGGGGAGATGACTACAAAGGGGAAGGAGACGCCACCATGAAGGGATTGACACTCAGGGACAGACCTGGACAACGACGCAGAGTCAGTGTCGGGCAGAATCTAGAACTTGGCAGCAGACTCGGGTGTACAGAAATGCCCTCACCAGCTGCCGATCTCTACAGTGTTTTGCTAGGAGATTGCTTGCTGTGGCAACGCTCACTGGACCAAGACCACAGTGGGATCACTGGAGACACAACCAGCAGGAGGCGCCCTCCCACAACCTCTTGCAAGGCTGTGCCACACTCTTCCAAACACGATCCCTGGGATGGGACAGTCAAGCGAGGAATGAGCGGGAGGGTGAGAGAGGACGAGAGTTTGGAGGTAGAGGGCGACAGCCTGCAGCATAGGGTCCAGCTCTCCATAGAGGAGGTGAGGGGCAGCCCCCCCACTCCAGAGATTTCCCCTCGCTCTGGTCAACCAGCAGCCTCTGTGATGGTTGCCATGGGGACTCTAAATGAGTCCCACAGTTCCTCTGGCCTGTCGCCATTCTCGCTTTCATTGATTGTCAATGGGCAGGGCCCCCATCTCGGTCTCGCCTGATGAAAGTCGGATCTTTTAAATAGGTCCACTGGAGGCCCGCAAACAAACAAATCCAGCTCCTTCGCAGTGAGATATCAGCCCCCAATGTACTGTGTGGGGAAGCTTGGATAATAGTGAAGCTCCCTGGGAAATGACCAAAGATCAGGAAGGGGTGATCAGGGGTCATTGGAGGTGCCTAAGATTTGAGGTGGGTGACTGAGCTTGGAGGGGAGGGTGATCAGGGGTCAGAGGGGCTGATCAGGGGTCCACGAGGGTAATTAGGGGTCAGTGAGGCTGTTTTGTGGTCATGTGTGGAGTCATCATAGGGTCAGGGAGGGTGCTTAGAGGTCATGTCTGGGGCCATCAGTATGACTTGGTATTGTAGAGAGCGACTGAGGGTCAGGGGTCACCAAGAGTCAGGGTTGGAGTGACTGGGGATGAGGTGCTGTGAGCCATAGGGTTAGGGTTTCAGTGTGATCACTAGGAATGGAGTGTTGCCAGGTGCCAAGAGGAGGTTACCAGGAGCTGGGGGTGGGGGGTTACCGACCGTCAGTGGGGGTATAGGCAATCGGGAGTCAGCATTGAACCATTCTGCATCACTGAGACAAGTTATGTTTTCCAGTCAGGACATTGGTCAGATTAATGCCTCTGCCGAAGGAGCCAATATCTGGACGGTGTTAAATCTGTCCAAGAGCCAACATGGGCAGCTGAGGATCAGCAAGGTCTCCTGCACCGCTTCGATTGCAAGAATGCACGCTAAGTTTACTGGAAGTTTCAGGTAACAGTCCCTCTTTCTTGTGAGTTCTGCAGCAAGGACGTGGGTGGTAGTAACAGTAGCAGCCTGTATTGTGGACCGACTGTCACCATTACAGAGAATTTCTCCCAATTTGCAAGATGGAGATGTACTGAGCTGTGCACTCAGTGTTTGTGACTGCTGTTTCTCCATCTCAGCAAACCACCCTCCTCCATCTACTTCATCTTCTTTAGCTTCATCAACCTTTTCTTCAAGTTCACCACTCTCGCCACTAAAGTCACACAGTCTCACAGCCCCCTGCATTAAAAACAAATTAGTCATTCCATCTTGATTTTAATATTACATCCCACTCCCTCGTTCTGGATCTCTCAACATTAAATATAATCTCCACTCTAAATCGACATCGAGTAAATCATTTCATAACCTCTGTATCAAGACAAAAGAACGCAAATGTTATGTTATTCTTTGTGATTGAAGAGGTGATGACATAATGGTTGTCTCACTGGACTGTTAATCCACAGAGCTGCAGGTTAATGTTCCTGGGACACAGGTTCGAATCCCACCACGACATATGGTGAAATTTGAATCCAAAAAAACTCTGGAATGCATCACGTACCATCTCACCAGCCTCCACATCCAGCACATCATCCTCCGCCACTTTCACCACCTACAGTCTGACCCCATAACCAAAGAGATATTTCCCTCCCCACCTGTATCTGCCTTTTGTAGGGACCGCTCTCTCCGTGACTCCCTCATCCATTCCACATGCCCCACTAGCCCCACCACCCCTGGCACCTTTCCCTGCAACTGCAGGAGGTGCTACACCTGCCCTTACACCTCCATCTGGGGCCCCAGATAAACTTTCCATATCCAACAGGGGTTCACCGGTACATCCTCCAACCTGGTCGACTGTATCCATTGCACATGATGTGGCCTCCTTTACATCGGTGAGACCAAGCACAGACTCGGTGACTGATTTGCGATGTGTCTACCCTCTGTACACAACAAAGGACAACACCTTCTGGTTGCAAACCATTTTAACACCCCCTCCCACTCCCTGGGTGACATGTCCATCTTGGGCCTCCTCCAGTGTCACAATGACACCACCCGGAAACTGGAGGAGCAGCACCTCATATTCCATCTTGGGAGCCTACAGCCCGATGGCCTAAACATGGAATTCACCAGTTTCAAAATCTCCCCACCCTTGGTCTTATCCCATGTCCAACCCTCCCTCTCATCCCCACCTCCTTGACCTGACACAACCTTTCCATCTTCTCTCCCACCTATCCGCTCCTCCCACCTCACTGACCAATCCCCACTACCCCCTACCAGCATCCATCTATCACCATCCCACCTACCTTCCCCAGCCTCACCTCTCCTCCCTCTATTTATTTCCCAGCTCCATTCCCCCTCCCCAGCCCTGAAGAAGGGTCCCAACCCGAAACGTTGACTCTTCTGCTCCTCTGATGCTGCCTGAGCTGCTGTGTTCCTCCAGCTCCACACTGTGTTGTCTCTGACTCCAGCCTCGGCAGTTCTTGCTATCTCTGAGAGTTTTATCTGAATTTAATTTGATGGAGTGATTCACCAAATCTTCTAGGCCTCACAATCGTCTTTTTTTCCTCACAGGGGATTTTATGAATTAGTCTCCAGTCTTCTAATGACAGGTTTGCGATTCCTGATAAACCAGCAGGTAATTCTCAGCCTCTGCAAAAAAAAAAACTGGGACCCCAGAGGCCAGACAGCAATAAACATCAACATTTCTGGAGTGCAACAACTGAGTTGTACTTCTGTAGTGCTTTTGACATAACGTCGTGTGGTATCTTATGTACAATGCATTAAATATGATATATGTCATATTTATATCCGTCTTTAACCTAATAAAACTCCACAACGCTATTCAAAGTCGTGTTGTAAATTAAAATTGACACCGAGCCAGAAGGAAATATTACATTGACATCTAAAAGTTTAGTCATGGAGACAGGTTTTAAGTGGTATCTTAAAGAAGGAAAGAGGAGGCAAAACATTCAGGGAGGAATTTCCAGAAAGTGGGAGGCAGCAAGTTAATGACACCGCCATCAGTAACGGAGGGATGACATCAGGGATGCACAGGAAGTCAGAATGAGAGGAATGCAGAGATCTCAGAGGGTCATGGGAGAGGAGGCGATGACACAGATTGGGAGTGGACAAGACGATGTGGGGATCTGAGAACAAGGATGAGGATTTCAAAATGGAGGTTTTGCTTGAATTGGATCCAGCGTAAAGTTCAGGGTGAGAGTGAGGTTTGGGAGCAGGGAAGATGGGGAACTGGTCAATTTTCAGAATACTCAAACTGAAACTAAGAACAGTGTGGATAAGTGTTTCGTTGCAGCTGGGCTGAGGCAGGAGCAAAAACTGGATGATATTATGGGGGAGGAGACTGGTTGAGTGATAGAGAGGACATGACATCGGAAACTCATCTCTGGGTTAAGTAGGACACCTAAGTTGGGAACATTCAGTCCAGCGAAGGGTAGAGTCAATAGCAATGGAGCCCAAAGCTTTGGACTTTCCAATATTTATTTAATTAGGAGACATTTTGTTCACCCGGTGGTCAAAGTTAGATGCAGCATGGGAAATCAAAGATACTGATCATGTCAAGAGACGTAATGGTGAGATAGAGCTGGACATCAACAATGTGTGTGGGGGTAAAAGTGAGAGGTAGTGCTGAGAGCCAGGGACAGGTTGATGCTATGGGCAGTGAGAATTAGTGAGTGAGAATGATGATGTCTTTTTTTTGTTTGTTCCCGTTTAATCTCCTTTCTGTGCTCTTGTAGATTTGCCCGGCCTTAGAACACTCGGCACTGGTGCTGCTAAACTCTCTGTTGGCGACAGTCCCAGGTTTGTATGCTTTGACCGACATTTCTGAAGAACTCTCATGTGCATTCGTCAATGATTTTCTTAGTAGACTAGGGATTAATGATGGAGAATGAGTTTTACCGTCTCCTCAAGAAGGCAGTACTAAGGTAAGCCAAGTGTTGTGTTCCAAGTGACAGTGCTCAGTGTATTCCTCCATGTTGGGAGATGAACAGAAAGATCACAACCACATAATCTATGGATTAAAGACATTTTCATTCACTCACTCCCGGGATATGGATGTCAGTGGCTGGTCAGTATTTATTGCCTGTCCCTAATAGCCCCTTGAAGGTGGTTGAGTTACCTTCTTGATCCGTTGCAGTCCACCTAGTGTAGGTTGACCCACAATGACCTTGGGGACGGAATTTCAGGATTTTGATCCAGCGACCATGAAGGAACAGTGATATATTTCCAAGTCAAGTTGGTGAGCGGCTTGGAGGGGAGCTTGAAGCTGGTGGTGTTCCCATGTATCTGCTGCCCTTTGACCTTCTAGATGGAAGTGGTTGTGGGTTTGGAAGACCAAGGAGTCTTGGTGAATATCTGCAGTCCATCTTGTAGATTGTACGTACTGCGGTTACTGAGCGTCGGTGGTGGAGGTGACAGTTAACGTTACTCCAGTGGAGAGATGATTAATGGATTGATTAGGTTAATGTGAGGCTCCATTTCCATCTTGCTGCAGCAGTTTTTCAAAGGTTGATTGTAAAGAGTAAAGACGATAAACCTCACAGACCAACGATCATGTTACTGGGGCTTACTGTCTTACCTTGGTTCATTTCACAGTTTTGTTCGGAAGGAATTGAGGCTGAAAATTGGTTTGTTGTGTGTTATTGGGTTCTAAGACTATGCAGTCTCCTAAAGTAATGCTGTTTGAGCCAATGGAACTTTCTGGAAGAACTCAAGGGGCAGATTTTCCGAGGAGTGCCCTCACAGTCAGATTGCTGTTGCATTTGGAGTTTTCAGGATTTCTGGTAGGAGATTGCAATCACAGAAATCCTGCAGAAAAACAGAGCAAGCCTTCCATCCAGCTGTGCCTCGTTGTGCAGGATAGTTGGTGGGGGGGTGCGGGCAGATGGGGTGTGGAGGAGGAAATCACATGATGGCCCCCTTTGTCACAGCAGGAGTTACCATGTTCTGAGCTTTAAATGTCCAACATGGAATCCCTACAGTATGGAAGCAGGCCATTTGGCCCATCATGTCCACACCAACCCTTTGAAGAGTATCCCACCCTGACCAACCACCCTTCTCTGTCTCCATAACCCTGCATTCCCCATAGCTGATCCATCTAATCTAGACATCCCTGAGCACTACGGGCAATTTAGCATGGCCAATTCACCTAGCCTGCACATCTTTGGACTGTGGGAAGGACGGAGCACCTGGAGGAAACCCACACAGACTCGGGGACAATGTGCAAACTCCACACAGCCAGTCACCTGAGGGTGGAATCGAACCTATGCCCCTGGCGCTGTGAGGCAGTAGCGCTAACCACTGAGCTGGCCCTAGTGTTGTTATGAATTAGGGGTGAGGTACTGTTGTATATTGCACTGTGTTAGTTTCGGTGAGTGCGTTAGGAGGAGCATTGAGGCTGAAAAACAGCACCATTGCAATCCAGCCAGTGTTGACAGTAAATCTTGCCAAGTCCTGGGCATTCAGCAAACTAACTCGAGGGCTAATGCCCTCACCAAGATGGCACGCAGTGTGGACCACGTTGGAAGAGAGTGAATGCAGCACGGATACAACTTTGGCATCGGGGTCCTTCAGGAGTGAAGCGACGGGCCGTGTGGAGTCATTTAACAGTGGGAAATCCGCTGTGGTACCCCAGGTTAGATAGTCCTCACTGCCACCTCACTGCTTCGTACTGCTGCTATATGATTCAATACAATAACCCCAGTGTTTGAGGAAAGCAGAGGCAGGCCACTGTATCCCACTGTTACCTGGCTGGAACTGTTCTGCTTCAGTTCCTGTTTTATCCGGAGGTACTGTGTGGGCCAGTCTGGGATTGGGTGTGCTGGGTTCATTCACTAAACTCTATAGTTCCAGCTCTTAATCTGTGGGAATCTGGGCCACTGGGATATGCATGTGTAAAAGGCTCTTGCCATGCCAGAAATTCATTCCTTCTTTCCTTCTTTCTTTCTTTTATCTAGTGCGAATGTCAGTGGATCCATTCGTGGGGATCGATTATTCGTTCCTCAGTGACCCAGATGTGAAAGCTGATTGGATGGACATGGAATTCAAGGTGAGGGCCTGGACGCAGTCAGCAACTCCCAGACTGTCCACAAGGGAGCGCTGTACCCACTGGAGCAGCTGTTTCCCAGCTCCCATAGGAAGCAGGGGGCCAAGAACTGTTGGGTTAGATTCCCAGTGCTTCCCCAGACAGCTGGGCCTGCTCTTCCAGCGGCCGAGAGTGGATAACCAGGAGAACATCCTGACCATTCACCCCCACGCCCCAAACTTTGTTCTGCTCTTGTGCTTCCTTCATTGGACACCCACCTCATGCTAACTCTATCACCTGTGATTCAGGCTGCGTGAGGAGATCTGATGATAATGGTTCACTCAAAGGGAGATTCAAGCAATTGTGTCTGTTCATTGGTCAGTTCATGGAGATTGACTGATCTTCAACGGGCTTCAAAATGGACAGTCCCAGATGTAGGGATTCTTACTGCATAGCCTGAATAAATAGAACAGCGGCCTCCAGTCCTCAGAGACTGTGAGTTCGAATCTCGCAAGTGAGCAAATTGTGGGACCTATATTCAGTAAATGTGGCGAAATGCTGTTAATCCACTCCATGGGAATGGAGGTTGCTCTCCCAGTCTGCCTCACCCCAAGCTGGTGTAAGAACAGCAGAATTTAATCACTCAGCCTCTCCAAACCCCTCTGCCATCCAATAAGATCATGGCTGACCAACGATCTGAAACCCACTCTCCTGCCCACTCCCCTTCTCCCTGGATTCCCCCGAAAAAGGCCATAGATCAGCTACCTCCACTTCAAGTATAGTCAACGATGGAATATCCACAAGGATTCTGGGGTAGAGCTTTCAGAAGATTCAAAACCCTTTTGTGTGGAGAAATTTCTCCCCTCTTGGTCTGAAATAGCTGCCCCAGATCTTGGGACTGCTTTCGGCTTCTAGATTCCCCAAGCCCTGTGTTGGGGTGCGGTGTGTGGGAGTGACCTCTCAGTGTCAATCCTGTTTATTTCACTGAGATCACCATCTCATTCTTCTACAGTGAGGGAATATAGACCCACTTTACACAGCCTGTCATCGTAGGACAAGCCTCTTATCCCAACTCAGTGATTCTTCGCTGCCTGACCTCTCATACAAGTAGATCCTTCGTTAAGTATGGGGACAAAATCTACTCGCATTACTCCAGGTGTGGGCTCACCAAAGCCCTGTTCATTTAGAGTCAGAGTCATTGAGAGATACATCACAGAAACAGACCCTTGGATCCAAATCATCCATGACAACCAGATATCCTAAATTAATCTAGTCCCATAATGTTGGCCCGTATCCCTCTAAACCCTTCCTATTCATGTACCCATCCAGATACCCTCTAAATGTTGTAATTATACCAGCCCCATGTAACAAGATGCCTTTATTCTTGCAGGTTGATCTCCTTACACCAAAGTTGAACATGTTATTTGATTTCTTCATTTTTCTATTTTCAGGATGACTTATCGTTTTCCTTATCTAAGTAAACCCCAGTCTCTTTATTGCAGAAAATACAGAGGCATGGGATTGAGGGTGATTTAGCGGTTCGGATCAGAAATTGGCTAGCTGTAAGAAGACAGAGGGTGGTGGTTGATGGGAAATGTTCATCCTGGAGTTCAGTTACTAGTGGTGTACCGCAAGGATCTGTTTTGGGGCCACTGCTATTTGTCATTTTTATAAATGACCTGGATGAGGGCATAGAAGGATGGGTTAATAAATTTGTGGATGACACTAAAGTCGGTGGAGTTGTGGATAGTGCGGAAGGATGTTGCAGGTTACAGAGGGACATAGATAAGCTGCAGAGCTGGGCTGAGAGGTGGCAAATGGAGTTTAATGTGGAAAAGTGTGAGGTGATTCACTTTGGAAGGAGTAACAGGAATGCAGAGTACTGGGCTAATGGTAAGATTCTTGGTAGTGTGGATGAGCAGAGAGATCTCGGTGTCCATGTGCATAGATCCCTGAAAGTTGCCACCCAGGTGGATAGGGTTGTTAAGCAGGCGTACGGTGTGTTAGGTTTTATTGGTAGAGGGATTGAGTTTCGGAGCCATGAGGTCATGTTGCAGCTGTACAAAACTCTGGTGCGGCCGCACTTGGAGTATTGCGTACAGTTCTGGTCGCCGCATTATAGGAAGGATGTGGAAGCATTGGAAAGGGTGCAGAGGAGATTTACCAGGATGTTGCATGGTATGGAGGGAAGGTCTTATGAGGAAAGGCTGAGGGACTTGAGGCTGTTTTCGTTAGAGAGAAGAAGGTTAAGAGGTGACTTAATAGAGACGTACAAGATGATCAGAGGATTAGATAGGGTGGACAGTGAGAGCCTTTTTCCTCGGATGGCGATGGCTAGCACGAGGGGACATAGCTTTAAATTGAGGGGTGATAGATATAGGACAGATGTCAGAGGTAGGTTCTTTACTCAGAGAGTAGTAAGGGTGTGGAATGCCCTGCCTGCAACAGTAGTAGACTCGCCAACTTTAAGGGCATTTAAATGGTCATTGGATAAACATATGGATGATAATGGAATAGTGTAGGTTAGATGGGCTTCAGATTGGTTTCACAGGTCCACGCAACATGGAGGGCCGAAGGGCCTGTACTGCGCTGTAATGTTCTATGAACATCGACAAGGCTCACACCTTTGAAGAGACTTTTTTCTTGTATTCCTACCACCATATTAGGTACAGACAATAAAACGTGACCTGACCTGCATCAGCCAAATCCAGAGGATCAAATGTAGATTTGAAAAGTGGGGACAAGTACAATGTCGATCGTTTACCTTGTGTGAAACTGTGGTTGGGTCTGGCCCTTGTGTGACAGAGACACAGCACTGTGCCCTGTTCTCTGGAAGATCAGCTGTAAAGCACCACTAGCTTCTGACAGATACCCAGGCCCTATATGGGTAACGGTTAGTCAGATATCTGTAGACTACCTCCGTGCACTTGAATAGACCTTCTATAACAGGTACAGGCCATTGCTAAATCAGTAAGAAATGGCTTTTCAGTTTCTGGGCATATTTATCAACGAAGCTAATTGAAACTCTGAAAGGTGTGAGAGGTTTCCATCACCTCTGGGCAGCTACATAATTTGAATCATTTCTCCATGAGTGTGGTTTGCTCCTGTGTTACTGAGTTTCCATGTGTTCTCACTCTGGGTGTTAATTATAATTGTAAGGTATGACTGTGTTCTGCTAACTAATGCGTCTTGGGAATTGTTTTAGGGAATGTTCTACCCTGTGGACAGTGAGAATGATACACTGGTGAACAATGCGATCGTGCCTCTGGTGAAGAGCAGTCAGCGGATGGTATACATCTCTGTGTCTGAGTACTTCTTTGATTCTGCCATGTACTCCTATTATAAGGCTGGCGTTCTGAAGACCGAGATTCCCGAGAGCAAGGTACCAAGCTCCCAATCGTTACATCCTCCTGTCTCTCCAAACAATTCTGATATCAGTGACTGAACCTCCTCATTGCTCGTGTGTTTATAGATGTCTGTCGATCTTGCTTACTTGCTGAGAACAACATTCTTTGGAGCAATCATCCTGCTGGTAAGGAACCTATAGTGACTGTTATTATCTTTTCTCTTTCCCTCTGTCACAGACACCTACCTTTTGCCAGCCTGACTGTCCTGTTTATGATGTTGTTCAGACCAGCAGGAGCTAGGAGCTGGGAGAAGTGTGAAACCTCAGTTAGACCATCACAAACAGTACAAAGTGAAGCCTGGTACTCAAGGGTCCATGGAATAGTCCCGAGCTCTCTGTCTGCCTCAGGATACAGCTATTGGCAACATCAGTAACTGGCCCTGGGATGGTCACAGTAGCACTGTGCTCAGATATAACTAACGGTGTGATCCAACCATCTCTGTTCAGGTCTGGCCATGTAAAGTAAAGGGTTAACTGTACCTTTTTCTCTCGTTCTAGCCCCTGAGGATGTTTGTGTAAGAAGCTGTATGCTGGGGGTGATGTCTGATCACATGGAACTGGGACCCAAGGCTGTTGGGTTTGAGATCTGTTCTCTCTTCCCATCTCTTGTACGTAGTAATAGTTAGATGTTCACTGATGTGGGTTTGGATTGTGTTCAACCGACAACCCAGACCTGATCTTGCAACGTGGTGGCAAGTAATGACCAGACACACAACTGAAGGCAATGGCAATTGAGAGCTGAAGAGAAGCCAAGCAGCAGAAGGTACAGTACAGTGGGTGGGGGACTTCAATTCTAACCCAGTTACTGGATTGCAGAAAGAAAGGCCCCATACAATGCTGACAAAGTATGGGGAAACCACACAGCCAGGAACAGCTGTATTTCAGTCGGCCGCAGTGAGAAATAGATCATTGTAGACTGGAAGACTTTACAGAGATGGAAAAGAGCCCTCAGAGTGCAGGATGAAACAGGACGCAGTCGATACCATCGGGGGATCCCCACTGGCAGGAATAAAGAGGGTCATCAGTCCCCGGAAACAGACCATTTCAGAACTAGGTCAGCAGCACAAATGGTGAAGACAGACCACAGTGGTCTGTAAGTGTCTGACTATTCAAGAATTATGAGGAGAAGGATGAATTCCTCCCGGGGGTGGGGGGAGATATCACTGGCAGACGTATTCATGTTTTTGGATGATTCATTGCAAAGAGTCATAGAGGTGTACAGCGCAGAGCCTTCACCCCCACTCGTCCATGCTGAACAGGTATCCCAAATTAATTTTGTCCCATTTGCCAGCATTTAGCCCATATCCCTCTCAACCCTTCCTATTCATGTACCCATCCAGATGCCTTTTAAATGTTGTAATTGTACCAGTTCCCACCACTTCCTCTGGCAGCTCATTCATACACTCACCACCACCCTCTGCATGAAAATGTTGCCCCTTAGGTCCCTTTTAAATCTTTCCCCTCTCACCTTTAACCAATGCGTTCAGTTTTGGGTTCCCCCACCCCAGGGAACCGTGGCTATTCACCCTGTCCATGCCCCTCATGATTTTATAAACCTCTATAAGTTCACCCCTCAGCTTCCGATGCTCTAGGGAAAAAAGCCCCAGCCTATTCAGCCTCTCCCTATAGCTCAAACCCTCCATTCTGGGCAACATCCTTGTAAATCTTTTCTGAATCCTTTCAAGTTTCACAACATCCTTTCTGTAGCAAGGAGATCAGAATTGCAAGCAGTTTTCCAAAAGTGGCCTAACCAATGTCCTGCACAGCTGCAACATGACCTCCCAACTCCTTTACTTTTGAGACCAAAAATTATCTACCTATCTTCTAGTCAACCCCAGCGCAGGAGGTATTAATATCAGAGTGAGTCAGCAGAGGCAGATTACACTTCACAGAGAACGCTGACACTTTATGTTATTCCTAACCATCACTCTCTTTATTAGGCGAAGATGAAGTGTGCGGTTTTGAATCTTCTTAATTTAGCGCTTGCAGAGGAAATGGAAGCTGACTCATTGAAACAGTCTACATGATAGAAACCCCATCCATAGGGCCACTGAAAGACAGGATAGATCCTTTGTTTGTCTCAGAACAAAGGTTAGAAACAGTGGGAAAAGTCAGAGATGTAGGTAACCAGAAATGTGACAGTAATATAGATCTTGGGTTGCTTTTAGAGTAAAGAATGAAGATGCCACTCCTGCTGTTAATTTACTTGAAGCAGAGGTCCTGGACTTTCTTGCACTGTTGCAATCAATTGACAATATTTTTGAAGGCTCTGTTGTTTCCTTTGAAGAGAATCTCCCTTCTGTTGAAGAAGATGACGAAGAGGTAAATGTGTCTGCTTATTCCACTGAACCCCCAGCAACTTGCAACAATGCCACCAAAAGCAGCAGGAGAAACAGGAGCCCTCTACAGGGATGGACAGTGATGAAGGTCTGAGCACCAGGGGGAAACAGAAACGGACACACCCCTACCCCCGCAGTCCCAGCTGCCATCAGCTCAATGTCTGTTAGAGTGAACCAGACCTTAACAAAGCGACAGGGAGCTCAACAGAAGGTAAAGGACCAGGCAGCACTGCAAACAGTGAACAGCTGTGGAGTGAAAATGCCCTGACACCTAAAGCAGCAGCAACTGAAAAGGAACTTAGGATCGTTCAATCAAAAACAGCCACCAAAAGAGGTTCAGAACCTTCTTCAAGGAGCAAAGTGGCCACAATTTCTCAAGTCCTGGATTGTAGAGTTAGAAAGGGAACATCATTCCTGCAGGGAGGTGGTCTTGGATTCATGGGCATTGTAGGTAATTTTTATATTCACTCATGGGATGTGGGCATCGCTGGCTGGGCCAGCATTTATTACCTTCCCTAGTTGCCCCTGAGGTAGATGCAAGGGAGCTGCCTTCTTGAGTCCATGTGGTGTAAGTAAACCCCCAATGTCCTTAGGGAGGGAATTCCAGGGTTTTGAGCCGTGGCAGATTGGACAATACTTTCCTCCTGTCAAAATCAGCTCCAGCAGAACAGACATATAATGAGCAAAGAACATTGTGGTGGACCTGACACAGTCAGAGGGAGAATTCAAACCTTGGAAACAGCACACCAAGAGTTAGTTCAACCACTGTGAACAGCTAGTGGTGAGTAATACTGGGGAAAAACAGATACCTCTGTGTAAACTGGATCAAGCCAACAAAGAGGCTGTGGGGCCAGGCACCTGGGTTTGAACAGAAGCTGTAAACAGTTCATAAGGTGAAGAGTGAACCTTGACGGGGTGGTGGGGGAGTGGAGTAAAAAATCCCCTAATAATAGCTCCTGAATCCTGAGTGTGTGCAGAGGAATCCTGTCACAGTCACGTCTCACTTGAAACTGGGACCTGAGTAAGTTAGCTTTGGAAGATGTCTACTCACTGAATCTTGTAGATAGTTAGTTACAATTAATAAAGATTGTTGATGTTAATTGACAAAGGCATTGACTAACTTCTATCAATAACCCAGACATGATCCTACAACATGCCCTGATCAGAGCTAACTGAGAGAGGTATCTGTGGTTATATCAGAGCTGGTGATATTGATGGACAGAATTTGAGATCTTCCTGACCAGCTTTGTACAGTCGTTGGTTCCATCTTTCATCTCACACTTTGACGTCTCCTTTTTGAGCCCTCTGCTTTGAACTGCCCCTTCAACCTCCCCCTTTCACCCCTATTCTTTGGTCTCATCCTTTGACCTTGACCTCTCTAAGCTCATTCTTTTATCCCCACCGTTTGGTGCCATGTTAAGGTGAACGATGTAGAAAAGTTGAGAACTTACATATAGAGTTTTAGAAGCTCAGGAGGAGACGGCGCTACATGCTGCTCAGTTTGGGAACAGCAGGATATCTCAAGTTCATAAAAGGCTAACAAAATGGTGCAGTTGGAAGGCCTCTCCTATTCCTGAGACATTGGCACTGGTACTGGGGTGGTGTTAAACATCAGATGTTAAAGTGCTAGTTACAGCAGTCATATTTGTATAGTCAGAGATTTATATGACAACAACAAACCCCAATCCCCCCTTAACCCCCTTAAATGTAAAGAGTAGGAAGTAAGTTTGGTGAATTCCAGGCACACATTGCAACATGAGACAATGGTTTAGTGATACAAATGGAAGCCGTAGTGATTGTAACAAGGTCAGCCAAGTGGACATTGTAGAATGAGTTCCCTGACTGGGGTTGTTAATCTGGTCCAATCAGGGAGTCCTGGCTGACAGATATAAACGGGATTGTCAGAGATTCTGTTCATTCTGAGAGCTGGCTCTGAGGGAGCTGGATTAGTGTCAAGGACTATGCATGTGTAAATAAAGGGTGACTCAATGATAGGATTCTGGCCTCTGTGGTGTTATTTCAAACACCTAGGGAAGCTATTACATTGCTGAAAGGGCGTAAGTACTAGTTTAGTCAGTGAAGTCCACATCCAATGAATGAATAAAAACAATCCTCTTCGCCTCCACTTAATAGGAAGGAGATATTGGAGAGAAGCTGCAGAAATAAGTCAATTTAAAAGTGGTGGTGATGGGGTGGGGGTTCTAGTATCCTGATATAGACTAGAATGGTCATAGTGAAACAGGGCAAAGAGTGAGAGGAATTCTTGATGTGTACAAGCACTTTGTAGATCAGTTTGTTCCCTGCCCCATGAGAAAGGAAGCAGCACTGAATTCCAGGAGACCGAACTTAGTGGAGTGAATATGTTTCAGTGAGAGAGCATTTGGGGATCAGTGATCATATCAACATCACGTTTCGAAAATTGTGAGATACAAGCTGGTGTAAAAATACTTCATCAGAGGAGGCCAACTCCAGTAAAGCAGACTGTGACTGTACCAGTGATACAAAAACAACATAATATTGGTAATCTGAAATAAAGACAAAAAATAGTCCAGGTTTGGGTGAAGATTTGTAGCTTGGGTGCTGGTTGTAGATGTTGGTGTGTTCGTCGAGCTAGGAAGTTTGATACTCACAGGGATCACACTTGCAACTCCCATTCCTGGAAGTGATGGTGGAAAGAAAAGAGAACGGTGACTTCACTACAAAAGTATACAGGAAGTCGACACATACTGACCAGGTCTTAAACTATCACAGCAACCAGCCCAACTCACACAAGAGGAGCTGTGTTAGGACCCCTTTCAAAAGGGCTGCTACACACTACAGCACACCCAACCTGCAGAAGGAAGAACAACAACACCTCTACAAGGTCTTTACCAGGAATGGATACCCTGCAGCTTCATCCACAGGTACCAAGCCAACAAACAACACAACAAGGGCATACCAAAACCCGAAACAATAACCACCTTACTATATATAAAAAACACCTCAGAACTGGCAGCCAGACTACTCAGACTGCTAGGAATCACGACAGCACACAAACTGGCAATCACACTAAGACAGCAACTGACTAGAGTTAAAGACCCAATAGATACCATGGTCTGGACGAATGTAATTTACAAGATACCATACGGAGACTGCACAAAACACTACGTGGGACAAACAGGCAGACAACTAGCAACCCGCATCCACGAACACCAGCGAGCAACTAAACAACATGATCAGATGTCCTGGGTTTCAGCACACACAGACGAGAAAAACCACACTTTCAACTGGGACAATAGTACAATCATTGGACAAGCCGAACAAAGGGCAGCTAGGGAAATCTTGGAGGTTTGGCTTTCAGCTGCAGCCTCCATCAACAAACACTTTGAATTAGACCCAATATACCGACCATTACAACACATGGCCGGAACCAGCACCGGTTGGAAGCAGCAAAAACCAGACCACATAAATTTGAACCGGCACAATACAACAGCGCTTCACAGGAGGCTCCACAGCGCTGAGGATGTCACCTAGTAAGGGGACAAAACATCTGCTATCAAACCTCCCAGCTCAGCAAACACACCAACATCTACAAAAAATACTCGTCATCTCAATGTTGACAAAAATAACTGGAGGCCTGTGTTTCCCTCCTCGTTATTTAATTTGTGGGAATGTAGCTCAATCTGCTGCTAGCTACCTACACTGGGAGCGGGGGCAACAGTAAGTAGAGACAATCAACAATTTCAAAATGGGATAAAGTTGCAGGGTTTTGAGGTTGGAGTGGAGAATGGGACGAACAGGACTAATGTACAGAAAACAAGCAGAGACATGGCCGGCTCCTCGTGTATTAACTCCAAATTCTCTTCAAAAACAAGGTAAGAATTTTCAAACCAACATCAATCAGTGAGCAGAGGAATGATGTTTGAATGGGATTTTGGATGTGGCTGGAAGTATTTGGATGAGCTGTGGTTTGTAGAGAATGTCCAGAGCATGTTGGAATATTCCAACATCAAAGGTACAAAGGACGTTTTCAGCTATAGACATGCTGAGATCAAGACAATTAAATCCGAGGGGAAATTTGACTAAATTCATAACACGTACAATGCCTTTGGATGTGTTAACTGTGTCCTTTTCTCTCATCGCTGACACCAAGGCCCCAACCTCATCAGCTAAGGAAGCTCCTCTGCTGTTGGACTTGGAAGTGACATCAGCTCCTCACTGCACCATCAAACCATCAGGGATCATTGTCAGTGTTAGCGCCCTCATGAATGTCATTCTCCTTCCACCAAACTCGAAACCAGTCATGCTCTCCAGCATAATCATGGTAAGTGCTTTGATTCTCACTTTATGCACAGTGCCCTGACTGTATCACACAGAGCTCCATTCTGCAGTGTGACCTTACAGAGACGCTGCGTGAAAATTTTCATATTGCAGCAGGTGAGGCCTATCAAGGCCATTCGCAGTTTTCTTCACCAAAACAAAATCTCTGTTCAGCCTCTGCATTTCCAAAGAAAACAACTACCCTCCAGAACATCTCTGCAGGAGTTTCTCAGTGGAGTGTCCTAGACCCAACCTTTTTCAGCAGCTTCATCAATGGCCTTCGCTCCATCATAAGGTCAGAAGTGGGCACGTTCGCCAATGATTGCACAGTATTCAGCACCATTCACAACTCCTCACTTAGATACTGACGCAGTGTGCACCCAAATACTGCAAGATCTTCACAATATCTAGGCTTAGGCTCACAAGTAGCAAGTAACATTCGCACTACACAAGTGCCAGATAATGACTATTTCCAGCAAGAGAGAATCTAACCATTGCCCCTTGACATTCAATGGTGTTACTATCGCTGAAACCCCCGCTATCAACATCCTGGGAGTTACCATTGACCAGAAATACAACTGAACAAGCTACACAAGAGCAGGTTAGATGTTGGGAACCCTGCAGCGAGTAACTCCCTTCCTGACTCCCCAAATGTTATCCACCATCTACAAGACACTAGTCAGGACCAAGTTTTTGAGAAGATTTGTCGCTCGGGTTGTGGATGAGGTTGTAGACTTGCTCGCCGAGCTGGTGGATTTGGATGCAAACATTGCGTCACCCTGCTAGGTAACATTGTCAGGGCACCTCCGGTGAAGCGTCGGTGTTCTGTCCTGTTTGTTATTTATATGCATCGGTTTGCTGGAGTGGTTGGCATTACTTCCGGTTCTGTTTTTCGGTGGTTTGTATATTGGGTCCAGTTCAATGTGTGTGTTGATGAAATTACGGTTGGAATACCAGGCCTCCAGGAATTCCCTAGCATTTTCTCTATTTGGCTTGTGCAATTATGGATGTGTTGACTCAGTCAAATTCGTGTCCTCCTTTGTCCGTGAGAATTGGTCGTTTCTCTTGGTGGCTAGTTGGTGTTCATATATCCTTATTGTCAGTTTTCTTCCAGTTTGACCTATTTCATGTTTCTCTTGCGTGGTATTTTGTACATCACTGGTTATGGACCCTGTGTACGAACCACTGAAAAACAGAATCGGAAGTAATGCCAACCACCCCAGCAAACCGAGGCATATAAATAACAAACCAGACAGAACACCAACGCTTCACCGTGGGCACACTGACAATGTTACCTAGCAGGGTGACGAAACGTCTGCAACCAAACACACCGGCTCGGCAAGCAAATCTGCAACCTCATATTCCCTACTTGCCTGGATGGGGGCAGCTCCAACAACACTCAACAAGCTTGATACCATCCAGGACAAAGTAGCCCATTTGGCACCACATCCACAAACATCCACTCCCTCCACCACCAATGCTCAGTAGCAGCGGTGTATATTATCCATAAGATACTCTGCGTAAATTCACCAATGATCCTTAGACAGGACCTTCCAAATCTGTGACCACTTCCATGCAGAAGTACAAGGGCAGCAGATACATGGGAACACCACCAGCTGCAAGTTCCACTCTAATCCACTCACCATCCTGACTTGGAAATATATCACCGTTCCTTCAGTGTTACTGGGTCAGAATCCTGGGATTCAAACATACAAACAAGGAACAAGAGAAGGCCACTCGGCCCCTTGAATCTGTTCTGACAATCAATAAGGTCACGGCTGACCTAATTTTAATCTCAACTCCACGTTCCTGCATACTTCAGATAATCTTTCATCCCCTTGGTCACCAAGAATCCATCTACCTCTGCTTAAAAAATATTTGAAGATTCTGCATCCACTGCCTTTTAAGGAAGGGAATTCCAAAATCTCTCATCCCTTTGAGCGAAATATGTTTCCTCATCTCTGCCTTAAATGGGTGCTCCCTTATTTTTAAACAATGGCTCCTAGTTCTAGATTCTCCCACCAGAGGAAACATCCTTTTCACATCCACCCAGTCAAGCACTCAGGATCTTATATGTTTCAATTAAATCACCTCTGACATTGCTAAATTCCAGAGGATACCGGCCCAGCCTGTCTAGCCTTTCTAGTCTAGTAAACCTTCTCTGAACTGCCTCCAGCACATTAACATCCTTCCGTAAGTGCGATGACCAGTATTGTACGCAATACTCCATATGCAGTCCCAGCACTGCCCTGTATAAATGAAGCATAACTTCCCTATTCTTGCATTCAATTTCTCTCACAATAAACATAACATTCTATGAGCTTTCCCAATTACTTGCTGTACCTGCACTCTAACTTACTGAGGTTCATGCACAAGGACTTTCAAATCTCTTTACATCTCAGATCTCTGCAACCTCTCACCATTCAGATAAGATGCTTTTTTTAAAATTCTTTTCTGCCAAAATGGACAATTTCACACTTTTCCACATTGCGCTCCATTTGCCAGAACTTTGCATACTTACTTATCTATATCCCTTTGTAGGTTCTCTCCACCCTCTTCACAACTCTATTTTTCCTACCTACCTCTGTGATTAGCACGTTTCTTCCTTGATGCCTTGTCCTGTTGTGTGGTTATTGTTAGGGAGCCTGTACGTAGTTCCCACAAATGGACTCTCTCCTTTATCATTCTTCATCTCTACCCAGACTCCTCCTATATCCTAGCTTACTGAATTTAAATCATCCCTCTCTACTGTGCTAACATCATCTTTAATTGACGGAGCCACTTCTCAACCCTTTCTTAGACCCCTGTAGCATAGCATTTAATATTGAGCTCCCTGCCTAGTTCACCCTACACCTTTCAGTTATGACCACTATATATTTCTTATTATCTCAGTTTGTACTACTAGTTGACCACAACCTCCCAAATTTGGATCCTTGCTCCCAATGGTTAGCTTAAAACACACTTTCCTTCCCGCATTTGCAAGAATACCAGTCGCAGTATGGTTCAGGGGTAGACTGTCCCACCGATACAGATCCCACTTTGCCCAGTATTGGTGCCACGCCTCATGAACCAGAACCCATTTCTCCCACACCAGTCTTTCAGCCACGTATTCACCTCTCGAACTTTGTTTACCCTATGCCAATTTGCTCACTACTTGGGGTAGTAATCCAGAGATTATTACCTTTTGAGGAACAAAAACAAAGTTGCTGGAAAAGCTCAGCAGGTCTGGCAGCATCTGCGAAGAAAAAATCAGAGTTAACGTTTCGGGTCTGGTGACCCTAACTCTGATTTTTTTCTTCACAGATGCTGCCAGGCCTGCTGAGCTTTTCCAGCAACTTCTGTTTTTGTTCCTGATTTACAGCATCCGCAGTTCTTTTGGTTTTTATTATTACCTTTTTTTGAGGTGGTTCTTCTTAATTTGGTGCCGAGCTCCACATACTTACTGTGCAGAACCTGTTTTCTAGTTCTACCTATTGTCTTGATGCCTACATAGACCATGACAACTGGATCCTCCCCCACCCTCTCCAAGCTCTTCTCTAGCCCAGAATAGACATCCTGAACCAGGCAGACAGCATAGCCATCTAGACTCTCATTCGTTGCTGCAGAGAACAGTTTCAAGTCCTCTGACTCTCTCGTTCCTCCAGTACTGCCACATTCTGTCTGGATGGCTTCCTGTACCACAGTGTAACTGTCATTTCACTCATCCAGCCCACGGGTGGCACGGTGGCTCAGTGGTTGGCACTACAGCCTCACAGTGCCAGGGACCCGGGTTCGATTCCACCCTCGGGTGACTGTCTATGTGGAGTTTGCACATTCTCCCCGTGTCTGCGTGGGTTTCCTCCAGGTGCTCTGGTTTCCTCCCACAGTCCAAAGATGTGCAGGTTAGGTGGATTGGCCATGCTAAATTGCCTGTAGTGTTTAGGTATGCAGATTAGGTGGGTTATAGGGAGATGGGTTTGGGTGGGATGCTCCAAGGGTCGGTGTGGACTTGTTGGGCTGAAGGGCCTGTTTCCACACTGTAGGGATTCTATGATGATTCCTCACTCTCACCCAAACAAGCTGAACCTCAAACCTGTTTGACAATTGCAGAGGCGGACACTTCTGTTCCCTTGGTGCACTACTTGCCTCACTTACAGTCACAGCCTGCTGTCCCCGACCACTGCCCATAGCAGAACAACCTATCCATAGGTGTCACTGCCTCCAGGTACGAGGAATCCAGGTAAGCTCCCTGCTCCCTGATGCATCGCAGTGTCTGTACCTGTAGTTCAGCCTCCAGCTCAAACTCTGAGCCAGAACTGCTCAAACTTCAAACACTTACCACAGGGATGTTTGCCCTGAATCACAACGGTATCTTTCAGCTCCAACATTCTGCAGTTTTGACACAGCAATACCACTCTTAATGAGTTAATTAGTTATATTTGCTCACTTATTTATGTTGCTTTTTATGCATTATATTAACTTTACCACCGATGTGTATGATGTTAAAATTTGAGAATACGGTAGGTGTCAACCAATTAACAGACAATCCTGATAAAACAACTGTCTCTGACAGGTCTTGATCTAATATTTGGTTTGACCTTCCTGCTTCAAATCCTCTCATTCCAATACCAGCCAATGAATTTGTAGACTTGCTGTGATGTCATTCTTGTTTCTATTTTAACAAGAACTGACTGAAGACAACAACAACTGATTCCTCCCTAATAGCTCTAAGAGTCTAACTACATAGTCACCACCATTTCCAGGGTATGACTCATCCCAGAAATGATTTTTTTTTTAAATAAGTGTGGAGTATGTACATGCTATAAAGACAGGGAGCTTATGCTATATGCCTCAGGCACACACCCTTAATAACCTCTTACCACCTTATTAATTGTCTTGCTAGCTTTAAACATTTGTAGGTACACACTGCCATGGTCCTTCCATTGGTCCACATTACTCCATATCCTCCCGTGTCAAGGGGAGGTGAAGGCCTAGTGCTATTATCACTAGACTATTAATCCAGAGACGCTGGTAATGCTACGGAGATAGGATTTGAATCCTGCCATGATGGATGGTGGAATTTGAATTCAATAACTATCTGAAATTAAGAATCTAATGATGGCCATTGTTGGGAAAAACACCCATCTGGTTCAGTAATGTCTTTTAGGGAAGGAAACTGCCATCCTTACCTGGTGTGGCCTACATGTGACTCCAGCAATGTGGTTGTCTCTAAACTGCCCTCTGGGCAATTAGGGATGGGCAATAAATGCTGGCCTAACTAGCAACATCTTCATCCTGCAAATGAATTTTTAAAAAATGCTGCATATTCACCTACCCTGTTACATCTTCCATAATACCTCACACTCCACTTTCCTGCCCAATGACCAGAACATTTTTCTCTGCCTGTAGTTGAAAACTTCTCCTCGCTGACAGTCCTACGGTTAATTTGTTGTATCAGCTACAAACTCTTTTAGTACTTGAGTTTAAATCATTAATCTAAAGCACAAAGAGCAAGTGTCTGAGCTCTGAGCCCTGAGACCCACTGGAAATAGTTTTCCAGTCACAAATCCACCCACCAACCATTACCCTTTCGTTCCTGTCACTGAGTTCATGTTGGCTTAGATTTGTCACTCTGCCTCGGATTCTAAGGCCATTCTTGACTAGATGGTCCTGTGGTTCTAATTTCCATATAGACCATATTCAGTACATTGTCCTCATCACAGCCTACTTGTCAACTCCTCAAAAAAAAATTCAATCAAGTTCATCAGACATAGTCCCACCTTAACAAATCCACATTGGGATGGCACAGTGCCTCAGTGGTTAGCACTGCTGCCTCTCAGCACCAGGAGCCCAGGTTTGATTCCAACCTTTGGTGACTGTGCAAATTCCACATAGACATTCTCCCCGTGTCTGTGTGGGTTTCCTCCAGGTGCTCTGGTTTCCTCTCATTGTCCAAAGATGCGCAAGTTAGGTGTTAAATGTTAAATTGCCCATAACGCTCAGGGAAGTGTAGGTTAGGTGCATTAGCCACAGGAAATGTAGGGTTACAGGGATAGGGTAGGGGAATGGGTATGAGTTGGATGCTCTTCAGAGGGTCGGTGTGGACTTGTTGGGCTGAATGGCCTGTCTCCACGCTGTGGGGATTCTATGACTGTTCTTGATCAATCTGGACCTTTCTAACTGAAGGTACTTTCTGTTCTTCAGATTTAACTACAATAAATTTCCCACAACTGAAGTTAACTGACTTACAATTACTCAGATTATCCCTTCCTCCTTTTTAATCAACATTGGCAGGCCACTTGTATAGCCAAGCAGCATTGAAATCCTGGTCAGAGCCTCTGCAATTGGCCCCTTGCTTCTTTTAATAATCTGGGATATATCTCATTTGAGCCTAATGATTTACCGTCTTTCAAAGCTATCAAAGCCATTTCCTCTTCAATGATGTTTATTTGACCCAGTATTTCACAGTCTTTCTGTCTTTTGATGTCATTATCATTGGCTATTTTGTAAAGACAACAGCCAGGTCTTTATTGTCTGGTCCCTACTAGGCCGCACTCTTTCGTTCAGTTTCCCTATGATATTTTTTTAAAATTCACTGATAGAGTGGGGGTGTCACTGGCTAGGCCAGCATTTATTGCCCATCCCTAATTGCCCAGTGGCAGTTAAGAGTCAACTGCATTGCTGTGGGTATGGAGTCACATGTAGGCCAGAACAAGTATTGATGGCAGATTTCCTTCCCTAAAGGACATTAGTGAAGCAAATTTTTTTACAACTGATGTTGACTTTAGGATAACTTTTTTAATTTTAGATTTTTTTATTGAATTCTAATATTACCATCGATTTGAACCCATGTCTCCAGAACATTAACATGGGCTTTTGGATTACTATACATTACTACTATGCCACCACCTCCCTAAAAGCATCTTATAAAGAATCTTTTGACTAGACACTAACACAGACTTCACATTCTCCAAAGAGCTTATCAACCTCCCAACAGTGTCTTGGCCTCCGTGTGTCTCCACATTCTCCTGTCAGTTTCATGTGTTCCAGCAGACTCCGACCTGTATTTCAGCACAAACAAGAGGGTCAGTCTATCATTACAGGAAGATGACTCAGGATTCTGAATTGGAAACTGCTGATAAGTATGGCATGTAACATTTTCACTCGGGGTAGGGTGTAGAATTGGGGTGGGATCCATTGTATACATCAGTGATTCATGGTTGCAACTGCACATGTTCAAGTGTAACTACCTCAAGATAATCTGATTTTTAGCTAGCGAGATGCCCAAAATGTGACTCTTATACTATCCACCTACTATGAGAAACTTCCTTTGCAAAGGTAAAGTACCTTCTCAAATATAGTCCCAGGTCATCTTTGAGGCAGGTCAGATTCTCTTTGGGAGTGGTCAGGTATCCAATGGGATTCTTAAAAGCAAAAGTAAATCTGCATAAAAAGTGCATCACTGTAACTGTCAAACTCATTGAAACTGAAGAGATCTGTCATCAAAATGAATTATCAAAAGCCGTGCCAAGCTGCTGAGGTATTTAAAACTCTTATCTTTTAAAGATTCGTACAAACTACCTACAGAGAAATTGATGTTTGTTTGTTATTTCTCTGTGTCTGTTGACATAAGCCTGAGGGTCAGCAATTTAGAATTACAGCTAACTAACTGATTTCATGATCTACCGTTCACTCAGTTGATTGATAGCTCCAAATAGTTCTTGGCTGTTTGAACTGTGCCAATAAATTGCAATGTTTGTGTTTTATAAGGTATTTAAAGTAAGTTAGATGTATTGATTGGTTTTGGCTTTTTACAGAGGCTCCACTTTCTGCCAATGCAAATGCAAGGATGCACACACAGCACATACACATCATGACACTAAAAAGTGATTGTGAATTGGAAACACATGCTTCATGATCCAATTTCAATTTGATTTATTGGGAGAATATATAAAATGATTAAATCACCTACTCAGCAGGCAGTGTACACACCCCTCCTCCACCTGGGTGGCAAGGTGGGAAGAGCTAAGGGAAATGGAGCAGCAAGTGTGACAGCAAAGGGAGTGTGGAACAGGCAGCAGGGGGAGAGGAGAATCTGAGCATGTTGATCACAAATAATGTCATGCTATGATTTCTGGTCTGTTTTATTACCCTAATACACTTTGTATGGTATGATCTGCCTGTATTACACACAAAACAAAACTTTTCACTGAAAATAGGTACATGTGACAATAATAAATCAAAGCAAATTTTTAAAAAAGTACTCAGAATGGTGCAGAAACCATGGTACGACTTTCCCTCCTTCACAAAACATTGGATAATCTCACTTCTTGGACAACATGGGAGACTTACTGATGTTTGGATTTTTTTTGTTGCAGGAATCAAGACTGAATGCCAAGGTGTCTCTGAAGGGCAAGAAACTTGGAATGAAACTGGACCTCAAAAGGTAGGATCATTGGTCCATGCAGTATATGAGGAAAGTGAGAGAGTGTGGACTCCCAGGCTGTACATCTGGGTGTCCAATTGCTCCCGTTGTATGGAGCTGGTTCGACTTTGGGCTCTAGTCTGTAGAATCTATTGTCCACTCAGAGGGTGGTAACACCTCTCCAATTTCCATCTAATTCTGGCAGATAAACTCCGAAGGGTCAAACAGGAACTGGGTGTAACTCTCTGGAGCAAAACTGCAGGGATCAGGCCAGAGCTGTCGTCACCACGATAAGGAATGGGGAAGGAGTCACAAACTTCCAATTATTTTGGGCACTGGTACTTTAACACTCACAACAATAGTTTAACCCTCACTTCCATCGGGGCATGAATTAACCAGATGCATTCCCATCATTTCTAGACCTCTATATTACAAGAGCCAATATGGTGCCTGAAACACACAGCATTTTGGACAATAGATGGAAAGCTCCTTTCAAAACAGGGCAGTTTGAAACCCAAGAATGGGTCATAGGATCCCTACAGTGTGGAAGTAGGCCATTCCGCCCATCTAGTCCACACCTACCCTCCAAAGAATATCCCAACCCCACCCCTCAACTCCATCCCTGTAACCCTGCATTTCCCATGAGTATTCCACCAAACCTGCTCATCCCTGAACTGAGGGGGGGGGGAAACTGGCAGAGACCCACACAGACAGTCGCCCAAACCTGGAATTGAACCCAGGTCCCTGGTGCTGTAAGGCAGCATGAACAATGAAGCAAAGTGAACACAGGACACAGAGTAAAGCAGCTTTTCCTGGGGCTTCCTGCAGAGGATTCTGTGTGTGTGTGTGTGTGTGTGTGTGTGTGTGTGTGTGTATGTACTGCCTATACCCCTTTAGTTATGGATATTTTATTTATTCATTCAAGAAATGTAGGTATTACTAGCTGGGCCAGTATTTATTGCTTGTCCCTAGTTGCCCCTTGAGGAGGTGGTGGTGAGCTGCCTTCTTGAATCGCTGCAGTCCATGTGCTGTAGATAGACCCACAATGCCCTTAGAGAGGGAATTCCAGGATTTTTGACCTGGCGACACCAAGGGAACAGTGACATATTTCCAAGTCAGGATGGTGAGTGGCTTGGAGGGGAACTTGCAGATTGGGGGAGCTCCCATGTATCTGCTGCCCTTGTCCTTCGAGATGGACATGGTTGTGGGTTTGGAAGGTGCTGTCTGAGGCAACATTGTGAATTTCTGCAGTGCATCTTGTAGATAGTACACACTGCTGCTACTGAGCGTTGGTGGTGGAGGGAGTGGATTTTGAAAGTAGTCCATAACCAATATCTATTTCTTTGTTTAGTGAGATTGTAAAACCAAAATATCATGTTTTTCATTGTGGTGAATCAACAACAACACCATATATATAGTGCCTTTAATAGAGTCGTACATCAAAGCATCCTTATGAACATGAAAGGAATTGTGAAAGTTGATTCAGACACATTGTTCAGTAACGAAGATGTGTGAATATGGCCCAAGTGGACTGAGGGGAAATGGCAGTTAAATTGAGGACGGTGAGCAGAAAGGATTGAAACAGAAACAACAACAACTCATATGTATGTAGTTAACAAGGTGTGGAGCTGGATGAACACAGCATCAGAGGAGCAGGAAGGCTGACGTTTCCGGGCCTAGACCCTTCTTCAGAAATGGGGGAGGGGAAGGGGGCTTTGAAATAAAGAGAGAGAGAGGGGGAAGGCGATGATAGAAGGTGGATGGGGGGGGGGAAGGGGGGAGGGAAGACGGACAGATCAAGGAGGCGGGGATGAGGCGAGTAGGTAGGAAATGGGGGTGGGTGTTGGTCAGTGAGGTGGGAGGAGCGGATAGGTGGGAGAAAAGACGGACAGGTCAAGGAGGCGGGGACGGGGAGATTTTGAAGCTTGTGAAGACTACATTGAGACCATTGGGCTGCAGAGTTCCCAAGCGGAATATGAGGTGCTGTTCCTCCAGCCTTCGGGTTTCCTGGCTTCATCCCCGCCTCCTTGACCTATCCGTCTTCTCTCCACCTATCTGTTCCTCTATCCACCTTCTGTCACCGCCTCCTCCTCTCTCTGTTTATTTCAGAGTCCCCTTCCCCTCCCCCATTTCTGACGAAGGGTCCAGATCCGAAACGTCAGCTTTCCTGCTGCTTGGCCTGCTGTGTTCATCCAGCTCTACGCCTTGTTATCTCAGATTCTCCAGCATCGGCATTTCCTACTATCTCATACGTATGTAGCACCTTTTCATAATGAAATGGCACAAAGTGCTCCACAGGAGAGTTATAAAATACAGTACAATGCTGAGCCACGTAAGGATATTAGATCAGGTGCCCAAAAGCTTGGTCAGAGAGGTTTTAAGAAGTGCCTTTGAGGAAGATGAGGTGGAGAGATGTAGGGAAGAAATTCCAGAGCTTGGTGTCCAAACAAATGAAGGCTTAGGGTAGGCTCTACACCAAGGGTAGAGCGATTCTATTAGGGGATGCGCAAGAGGTCAGGAAGAGGAGCACACAGATTGCAGTAGACTGTTTACCTGGAGGAGATCAAAGAACTGGGGGGCGCAAGGCCAAGGAGAGATTAGCTACAGGTCAGCAATTAGAGGGCTGATAGGGGAATGAGAACTCCGAGTTAAAACAAGGCATAAGAGTTTTGCATGACCTGTTGTTTGTGGAGAGTAGAACTTGGGAGACCAGGTGGGAGTGTGAACATTTTATTTCATTGTCACGTGTATTTTACAGTAAGAATACAATAAAATACAGTGAAAAGCTTTCACCTGTCATCAAGATTTGGTGCCATTTTGAATAATTTAAGAATAAGAGGGGGGAAAAAAAAAAGAAAGCTATGGCTTAAAGAGAGTCCATCAATCCCGAGCCAGCTCATCATCAACAGCATCTGCACCACCATCCCTCCCCCACCGCTTTCACCGCCATCTACACCAGACCCAATCAACGTCAAAGTCACTGATCCTCAGGCACCATCTCTTGGTGCTGGGGCAATATTCCTCCACTACCTAGGCCGGGCCCACCGATGCCAGAGTCTCATCTGTCGCTGCTGGGCCCACCTTGTCAATGTTGCAGTGATGCCCATTCTGCCACCAAACTGGACCCAACCAACAATGAGTCTATAGGTGTGAGGCTGGTAAAGCAGAGCAGGTCAGACAGCATGCGAGGGGCAGGGAACTCAAGCCTGATGAAGTGCTTCGGCCTGAAATGTTGACGTACCTGCCCCTTGGATGCTGTCTGACCTGCTCTGCTTTTCCACCCTCGCACCTATAGACTCTAGCTTCTAGCCTCTGCTGTTCTTATTGTCTCCAGCCAGTAACGAAGTTGCTGATCCTCAGGCGCCATCTTTCGCAGCTGGGCCTACCTCATCAACATTGCCTCCCGCGCTGGAATAATCACGTGTGAAAGTAACAGAGGCATCAATTCAGGGTTTCCGCAGCAGGGCCGAGTCAAACAGTCTAGAGAAGAGTCGGACGTTGACGT